TCTAATTAAGGCCCCCCCCCCCCCGAACATGTGTAAAGATGCGTTGATAGGCCAGTGGCCTCTTTCCCTCAAAAATACAGTAAGTTTACTTTAAGCAGTAAGCAGGTATTAGTTGGAACTGCTTGCTCCAAATTAAATGTGTTCAGCCTCACCTTCTAACACTTTTTCCTGTTGTTTAACTGAGGGGCTCTTCTTCAATGTCAGCAAAGAGCCTGCCCTGGTCTGTTCAACAGCAATAATCTCTGAGGCTGCATTCAGCACTTCAAACATGGAGAAAAATCCATAACGCATGTACTGGAATGCCCGTCCAAAGTGCCTCGAAAAGGCTTCATCAAAGTCTGAAAGCAGGACTGGCGAGAGCCTCAGCAAGTCCTTCAATTCGCTTTTCACCACAGCCGGCAGGACAGGAGGGGTCCGCCCTTGCCGAGGCAGGCTAGGACCAAAGCTGGAGAAGGAATTTGCCCTACATGTGGCATTTCGCGTCTTAGGCTTGTTCTTCTGTCTGGCAACCAAATTTGCAATCCGTACAGTGTCTTCGTCTGCAATGGCTAAAGCAATAGGAACTAACAATTAGCACTCTTTTGGACAACATTCTCTCTTTCCCTTCCCCTTTACTAGTCCCATTCCAGTGGAAAGATCCTTTCAGATAGCAAGTTACACTAACCAAGTTATTGCTGAGCTTCAACATTCGTTACAAAAGGCATTAATAACCTGTCGTTTTTATTCTCCCTCTTATAAAAGAGATTGGAACGGATTTAAAATTTACAAGCACATACCCTGTCAGCATCATAATCTCAGCAGAACAAACACCAAGCAGGGAAGGCTATTGAGCCTACTTAGTACTTTAAAATCTGAAAACACAACCCAGAAGCTATACAAAGTTGTGTTTCATTCAGTAAAGGTCCCCCTGCCCTCTGAGCCAGTATTGTAGCAAAGCCCCACAACAGAGTTAAAACATAATCTACATGACAGGTTCAAAACAAAGGCCCTGACTACTTGCGACCATGGCATCTGACGCAAAATCAGAAGGGTCAACAACAGCATCCTCACGATATTTCAGTTTGTGAAATTACACTCTACCTATATTTGCCCTTCAGTTTCAGATACAGTATTCTTGATGCACTGCACTCCTGAGATGCAGCTCAGCTGTACAGTGATCCCTCTAGACAGCTTGCGTAGCACTGAGGAAACCCTCATGTTGAAAAGCTAATGCCACCAGCAACAGATAATATTAAGGAGTAGTCCTGGCTACTCTCCACAAAGGAAGCATATAACTAGCTTTGTGTGGTCTCTCTGAATAACTGGTTGGTGTCATGGAGCTTGCATGCAAAACAAGGTATGGCCCAGAAGTGAGAGTGCAGGCCCAGTCACCCCCTTGTATATGTCCCTCTCCATGTCCCTGGGCTGTCCCCTCACAGGCCTCATCCTCTACACCCGGGGAACTTGAGACCCAGGTTCATCTCCCTATCCTGCCGCTTGCATCCAGTGTAACTTTGGGCAAGTCATTTATTCTCCCACTTGTGGGATTCAGGGAGGAAGATGCCCACCACAGGTTTCCCCAAAACACAGGAACGCAGAGCTGGAGAAGGGACCTCACACAGTCGTCTAGTCCAGCCCCCTGCTCAAGGTAGAAGTAATTAACCATTCCAGGCGAGTGTCTTTCTAACCTGTTCTTGCAAATTTCCAGTGATGGAGATTCCACTTCTCTAGGTAGCCTGTTTCAATGCCTTCATAGTCAGAAAGTTCCTCCTATCTCCAACCTACATTTCCTCTGCTGCAGCTCAGGTTCACTGTGCCTAGTCCTGTCCCCTGTGGCCACAGAGAAAAGCCTATCTCCATCCTCTCTATAATCATCCTTCAGGTATTTGAAGACTTTTATCAAATCCCCCCTCAGTCTTCTCTTCTCCAGACTAAATAACCCTAGCTCTTTCAGGCTTTCCTCAAAAGTCATGTTTTCCAGGCAGTCTGTATCTCTGCATGCAATTATTCCATCCCAAGTGCAGGACTTTGCACTTGTCCTTGTTGAATTTCATCTGGTTAACTGTAGATCAGCAGTCTCCAACCTTTTTAAGGAGATCACCTTTGGCATTTAAAAGCAACCCAAGATCTACCGTATGCCGCCGCCACCCTCACCCCCTGCCCAGCAGGTAAGTCTGTGGGGAGGAAAGGGGGTGGAGCAGATCGAGGCAGAGGGAGAAAAAATTATTTGGGGGCACGCCTCCCCAGCAGGTAAGTCCCACCCAGCCAGGGCCCCACTCAACTTATCCCTGCTCCTGCCTCTGCAGCACTGTCCCTCACTACAGGGGCCTAATCTAGCCCCTGCCCCTTCCCTCCCCCACAGACTGACCTGCTGGGTTGGGGCACACTCGTGCATGTATACAGGCACTCGGCCCCTCCACCCCAGCCTTGAATCAACTCCAGGAGGCTCTGAGATCCACCGCAAGAAACTCCAAGAGCTACTGGTGGATCAAGATCCACTAATTGGTAACCATGGCTGTAGACCATTTTGCCAGTCTGTCCAGGTCATTCTGGATCCTAGCCCTACACTCCAGGGAACTGCAACTCTAACCAACTTGGTGTCTTCCACAAATTTGTTAAGCAGGCACTCAATCCCATCATCCAAATAATTAATGAAGGTACTAAGGATACTGGACCCAGAATCAACCCTTGGGGAACCGCACTTGATACCTCCTCTCAAACTAAATATTGAGACATTGATATCTATCTGCTGAGCACGATGATGCAACCAGTTACGTATCCACCTTACAGTATTTTGATCTAATCTGAATTTCCACATCTTGTTAATGAGAAAGTCATGGGACACTGTGTCAAAAGCTTTGCTAGAGTCACAGGGCATCGTATCCACTGCTCTCCCCTCATCCACAGAGCCTGTCACTTTATCACAGAAGGAGAACAGGTTAATCAAGCATGACTTGGTTTTGGTGACTCCATACTGGCTCCTCCTGATCAACTTGTTCTCCTCTAGTACTAACTGTAGATACTAAGCTGCATTTCCACTAGTGCCACTGACATCAATGCTATGTCAATACAAGGGACCTGAAATAAACAACATTTTCCAACAAATACTTGGAATACTTAGGGCACCTATACCTGTGTAGTAAGGCTGCTCCAACATGCTGTAATTACAGCATGTTGGAGCAGACTTAATTAATTGAGTCTGCTGGATTGTGGTAATTACCACAATCCAGCAGACTCAATTAATTAAGTCTGCTCCAACATGCTGTAATTACAGCATGTTGGAGCAGACTTAATTAATTGAGTCTGCTGGATTGTGGTAATTACCACAATCCAGCAGACTCAATTAATTAAGTCTGCTCCAACATGCTGTAATTACAGCATGTTGGAGCAGACTTAATTAATTGAGTCTGCTGGATTGTGGTAATTACCACACTCCAGCAGACTCCAGCATCACATGCATCAGCATCTCTGTGCTGAAAAATGGCAATGCTTTAAAGTGCCCTTGCTGCCATATTTCAACACAGGAACACTGATACATGCAATGTTCTGGATGCTCTAATTAAAGTGTTGCCCCTTCCTCCCCTCCCCCCCAAGCACATGTATAAACATCCCTAGGGAAAGGCAGCCAACGCTGTCAACCCTCATCCTGCCTGTCTTTATCCACATCCTCCTGCTTTCTGGCTCTCATATCTTACACATGTGCTACAATCACCTCAAGACACTTGAAAGAAGCTGGCTCTTTTGGGGCAAGTGTTCCCAGTCATGCTTTCCTCTCTCCCAGGAGGAGAGCACCCACCTTTCAGGACTACGTTGCCATGTCTGTAGGGGCAGATGCTGACCACATCAGGCATGTCAAGGACCAGCTCCATGGTGGAGCAGTAGCCCAGCGAGTGCAGCGGGAGAGGCTTGCCCATCATCGACAGGTACTCCTGCTCCAGCTGAGCTGGGGTCAGGCCCTCCTTGACAGCCATCAGCAGTGACCGCACCTCCTTCCGCAGCAACTCCATGAGGTGCTCCTGCTCCGACATGGCTGCGCTGAAGGAAGAAACAAGGCAAGGGGCAATGAGGCTCAGGGCCCGCACTCGGGGGGCTCCACCAGGCAGTGGCTAGGGGAGAGGGGGTACCGCGAGCCAGGCAACGGACAGGCACTACGTGCCAGTGACCCAGATCCCCTGCCCTGTGCCCCAGCCCCCCTCGCGCCTCCCTCCGCACCTCCCCGCGCCGCTCCCGCACGTGCCCCCGCTCGTCTTCGCGCCTGCGCACAGTGTCCGCACAGCGGGACCATAGAGTGGGGGCGCTTGCTCGAGTGTCCCTCTTTCCCCCCCTCGGGGCGCGCAGTGGCCTCTAGTGGTAGGCGCCTGGCTCCGCGCTCGAGCCTCCCCCACCGAGGGGGCTTGCTAAGCGTGAGCCAGGGCTGCGCAGAGCTCGCACCTCAGCCTGTCCCGCCGCGGCGCGGCCCATGGGGCCGGACTCCCCGCCCGGTGGCGCTGAGCGGGGCGGGCTGTAGTGCTGTAAGGATGAGGCCCCGGTCAGACGCAGGCTGGGCCCTCTCATGAGCCAGCGTCCTGCGGTCCCAGAGCAGGCCAGTGCAGCCCTTGCTCCCGGGCAGATGGGCAGCAGCAGTGCGTAGCTGGGGCCGCTGCTCTTCAGCGCTGTGCTAATGTTTAAAGCGGTGTACGAGGGACGGCGAAGCTGTGACCATGCAGATATTGTAGGCAGGCAGATAGGGCAAGGAGTTCCTCTGCTGCTAACACTTCTTGGACCAGCTGTATAGGCGGGCTTGAGTTAGGCAAGCTTTTGAATGCAAGATGCACTTGTGATGTTTAACACAGCATCACGCTGTTGGGGCCCAGCCCCGTCTTACAGAACGTTGGCCAAGTCTTGCCCAATATGACCCACGCTAGAAAGATCTCCAATAAACCATCTGGGCAGGAATTAAGAGACTCTGGCAGATCCCCAGCTGATACTACTGAAAGGTTTTCCAGACAGAAGGGTATTGATTTACAGCCTTCAGGTCCCATGTGATTAAGCTGTGATCATCTCCTCTCTATTAGCCAAAACAGAGCTAGTCTGATCCTGCTCTGTGTTCAGACAAAAATTGAATCTCTCGAGCCTTTTCTAATCACAGTTAGATTTAAGGACTCTATTTTAGGACTAACATAATAGAACAATGCTTAGCCTTTTACTTCCTGGAAGTGCTTAGGAAACATCAATTAACACCTAAGGAAGAGTTGTTATTCCCCCATCATACACATAAAGAAATAGAGGCAAGTAAGGTTAAAAAAGAAATGGCACCTTTTTCACAAAAAGCTAACCATTTAGTTTATTGTGACAAAGCTAAAACATATTTGAGCCTTGCATATTTTGCACTTCTAGAAATATTTTGTAGAACACCCACGCTGCAGAACTGAAATGCAAATTGGGAGATTAACTAACTTGCCCAAGACCAAAAAAAAAAAAGAAGTTGGTGATTTGAACTGGGTTAAATTTCTTGACTCCCTGACCCGTGTTCAGGTTTATGATGTTTCTTCACCCCATGACCAGTGTTCAAGTTTATAATGTTTCCTCTCAAAGTTTGTAATGATTGTTCAATAATTTTATTTACTACCTAGTGGTTATACAATTCAGTACAATTACAGAGAATTCAAGATGTAGATTTAGAGGTTGGGAGAAGATAGATAGAAAAACATTCCAGCACTTGGATAACCAATTCTTCTATATGTTCCAGAGATAGCAGTGTCAAAAGCAATTCAATGATTTCCCACAGGACAGAAGTAAACATGCTGCACTGTTCGGAAGTCCAAGCTCATGAGATCTACAGAGAGCAAGCCACTATACGTGGAGCCCTGGGGAAACATCATCTAGGATGTTCATTGAGCAAAATATCAAACAAAGTATAGAAAGGTCCAGGGCAATTGGAAGCCTGAAATATACTGTGGTACTTCTGATAAGAAATTGCCTGAAGCCAGAGCAACTTAGACAAAATAAAGCTTTAGGGATGATTTACTGTTGACCTAAAATTCTAGCTGCAGTTTCAATGTAATATGATATTTTGTCTTTATTTCATACTCCTCTGTTGTGTTAACATAGCCAGTTAAGAACTGCTTCATCTGTATTTTTGTGCATATATAGTTTACACAGCACTTTGGGATGATTGAAAGCACTGTACTAATGAATTAATATATCACCGTTTCCTCCCAAGCATCCACCCTACTCCACTCACTTTGACATGAGGCCTGTTCATTTGCTAATTCCCTGAGGCCAGTGATTTTTCAATAAAGACTGTAATACTATGAAGTTGATGAGGGAGCAAAGAGTTCAGAGTTCACACATGCCTGTACTATCCTGAGGTAGATGATGGCAAATATTTCCAATAAAACAGGAATCCAAGAAAAAACAAGACCATCACTAT